TCCAGTGTCCTGACTTTATATTCTTTCAAATAGGAAAAAATACACATTCTCCATGTTGACCTAAGCCTAATGAAAGAGAACAAGTGAATTGTGAGAATGGCTAACAATGTGCTGAGCACTTATTATGAACCTGATGGCATCACTGGGCTTGCCTTCTTATGGAAGTTTAAATTTTATCTGAAAGACTGCTGCCACTCTAGCCATAAGCTCAGATCTCAGTTGGCCTTGTTTTGTCTGCAAGGCTGATGGGGACTAACTGGAGAAATCTGATGGGGTGTCAGCAGGCAGGAGCAGTCTGTGCAGCTCTGCTTGCTCAAAGTTGGGGAAGGGGCTGGCTGGGCTGGCGTACATGATTTTCATCTTGTCTTGTCATTTTACTTGGGGTGCAGTGTGACGCTGTAATATGGGAAGCAGAACCTGAGGCCCAAGTTCCCAACGTTGTGGCTGCCAAATGCGCTATCCCCAAGATGTGAAATCAAGAGACAGTGATTGGGAGAGACTTCTCTTCGAGGATCCTGAGACTGACACTCATCCAAAGGCAGCTGTGGGCAGCTATTTTGAATTTGATGCAAATGTGTTTCTTTTTAATAGACAAAGAGATCAAAGATATGACCCCAATGGAACCATTTCCCTTACCTCTGTTTGGTAGCACTTCTCAGCAATGATTGTCTAAGGAATGGCTTTTCTATTACAAGCTGCCCAATTTAATAAAAAGGACTGTTCCTGTGTATTGATTCCAAATTGACGCTAATTTGGCATCAGGCATTTTCTTTCACCTTAATAGACATATCAGATGTCCTCTGTCTTGGTCATTTATCTTAAGTGCAATGATAGCATTTATGAATCTAGTTTGTTCTTTTTAGGGAGAAAACAAGTTCTTTTATATACTCTGAGCATAAACAGTTTCAGAACCATCTTCCCTCCAACCCCCATCCCCACGCCTTTCTCCTGCCATGTCTTCTCCGAGGGCTCTTGGAGGCTTCTGAGAACACCCAGCACTGAAGGGAAACACCCAAGATTATTTTAAAAGTGTCAGTGGAAGCGGCTGAAGTCAGCTCTCAAGCGTGGATGACTTTTTTAGAAGCAGAAATTTGTGTTGGTGGGTGCAGGCCTCCATTCTGCCTGCCGTAGCTCTAGTCTCCTTGGCTGGCTATGTCAACTTCCTGCAACAGCTGTGCGTCGTGCTGGTGTGGAATTACCAGCTGTGTGTGCCCAAGGACGATTGGGTCTATTGTTCTTGCATTAAAAAAATTAAATAATTGGGTTCCCTTCTGCAGATGAAAGAACATGAATTTTATCTACTATTAGTTTATTACGTTAAATGGTCTTTCTGGCCATTTCAATAAATATACGGTATAAAGATTTTGTATCTTGAACTAGCCTGGTGACCCATCCAGAGAAATGTCAACTTCTTGGTTGCAAGCTTTTGAAAAACACTAGGGAAAGCTTGAAGATTGTAGCTAATACTGATATAATTCAAACTTGTGCACTCCTCTAAGTGCTTTGCATGCATTAGTTTATTTAACCATCACCACAACCCTATGAGACAGATACTATTATAATCCCTGTTTTATAGATGAAGGAAATGCATACAGAGGTGTGAAGTAATTTTCCCAAGGTCACACAGCTAGCATGTAGCAAAGCTGGGATTTGAACATAGAAACTGCCTCTTCCCCTTGCTACATTATATTGCTCCTTTTTAATTAATTAAGCTGTGGTTTCTGTGTTATGAACAATAAACTATGTTAAAAACTATGTTAAAATCTATGTTAAAAAGAATAAACCTAAGGAAGAATTTTACTAAATTTCTCAACCAAGACTATGTAACAATTAATTGTCTACTGCCACATGACAGCTGAGAGAGTGAAAGGTTTGAAAATTTGACAATAAACCCTTTAAAAATTGAGTACCCTACTACACAGCCAGGTCCTATCTCCCTGCTTCCTTCTGGATTCTCTGGAAAACCAGGAATTGGGCTAGATTATCTCTTTGGCCCTCTAAGCACTATACATTCATGACTTGAAAATGGTAATGTCTAGAACAAGATGAATAATGTTTAGAGCCAGTAAATAACATGAAGTGAAACAATCCTGTGGTCAGACTTTACGGAAAAGGAGAAATGGAGCAGGGTAATTTCTTTTATTTTTTTCAGTTTCCGGTCATCTCAGACTTTCCTGTCTTCAAAAAGATGCACTGTCTGGCTGTGACCATTTGTTTTCACAACTGAAGTTATTTTGGCAGTTCTCAAAAACATCTCCTGGCAGCTAGTCGGGATCCAGCTTTTGTGAGGTCTAACACTTTTAACATTGTGGAGGAGTCCTCTTTAAGAAAAAGAATACTAATTTACAAATATAAAATTAGTATATGCTAGAATTACTGTAACAGCCTCTTTACTTGTCTCTTTGCTTTCATTCTCTTTCTAGTCTAAAAGGTCTTCATATGTATAAACTTTGGTCCCAAAGTATGTTTGTTCAGAGAGATGGAAACAGACATGGGACAAAATGAGAGATCCTCAGTCAATTAAGCTTGGGAAATTCGCATGGCATATTCACTCAGTGATTTCATGATATACATCAGCATAACAAAGGTGCTAAGGAATCGCATATCTAAAAAACCTGCAAAAACTTGTCTGTCCATGGAAATCTTTTTTGTGGAATAGTTATTAGCATTTCACAGGCACAACCCAGTTTGGGAAACTCTGATCTAGGTTAATCTTCATAAAACATTCATGTATCATGCTTCTTCCTGGATGAGAAAAAAAAGTCCAAAGTTCACTAACGTCTACAGGATCAGGTCTAAATTAACCAGGGCATGCCTAATCTGGCCTTATGCCATCTAAACCTCATCTACCATCCCTTTCAGAGCAAAAGGTTTGCTGCAGTCAGTTCTACCGTCATCTGAGCGGGCAGGCTTCTGCCTTAGAGGGGACACCCAGTTCTCTCCCTCTCATTTGCCGAACTCATAGCATGCTGGTCCACACTTTCATACTGGCATTTAGTCCTAGAGCACACCTTGCACTGTTAACTGAACTCTTTAACATCACAGCTTTCTCTCTCCCAGCTACGTTTCCAGAGACAGAGAACTCCCTTTCCGTCTGCCTCCTCAGCACCCGAGTGTGCACTGGTGACTTCACTGTGCAAACAGATGGCACTTAATAAACATATGTTGACTGAATAATTAATTAACGAGTGAGTGAGTCTTGGTAAACTTCCTTTCAAATCAATTGGCTTTGTGGGTTCCTGAGTCCAGGCCACCTGAGCATATCAAGGATGAAGATAAAAGCATATCAGAAGAGATCACTGAATTAGCCCCATCTCCAACACAGCATCCAGTGACGCGGAGAAGGTGAATGAAGGGAGGGATTTTGTAGAGTGGACATGCAGAGCATCTGTCTGTCTTACCAGGGAGGCCGAATGAGAATATGTAAAACAGGGCTTTACCAACAGGCATTAGAAGATGGATGAATATGCAACACTGGGATAAAAAGTCCTCTGCTGATCATAAAAGTACACAATTCCCAGCAATACCTTTTGAACAGATGCTTAATTAGCATGTGCTAACTTTGATAAGTTGATCACTGAGTCAGTTTTAATGACATCTCAAATCTTCAGTTAAATTCCCTTGTTTTCTTAATATCAAGACTCCTAGTTTATCTTACAGCACGGATAATTTTTCCTTCCAGGTAGAATAAAATTAAACAGGTTCATAAAACATTCATTAACTTACATATGAAGGCATAGCTATCTGTGCCTCTAAGTTTAAATTAGTCATCTCCTGTAGCCTGAGATGACTAAGGATTTGCTGCAGGTATTTCTCTCAAGTGGTTTATCTTTTTTTTGTGTGAGGAAGATTAGCCCTGAGCTAATATCTGCTGCCAATCCTCCTCTTTTTTGCTGAGGAAGATTGGCCCTGGGCTAACATCCGTGCCCATCTTCCTCTACTTTATATGGGACGCCACCACAGCATGGCTTGCCAAGCGGTGCGTCAGTTTGTGCCTGGGATCTGAACCTGCAAACCCCAGGCTGCCAAAGCGGAGCGCACGCACTTAACTGTTACGCCACTGGGCCGGCCCCTGGTTTATCTTTTTGATTGTTCTATTATTTGATCTACGGTCTGAAATGTCTTTTTACTTCTTAAATACACACATTTCTAGTACAAAGTACATACACATAGTACAAAGTAACTGAGTTAGGCACTTCATTTATATAATCATATTCATTAGATACATGTCCAAATTATATAAATCCATATTAGTGATGTCAGTAGCAGGCTGCTGGAGGTTTACTTAAACAATACTTGTGATGCTGACAGTGAAGACTTGTAACAAAAGGCAATGCCAAAGGTGGCCCATCCTAATTCTGCCCCTGCATGATCTCAAGATATCTGAGCTGGAGTTGGTAGGGGGAGCAGATTGGGTAACAATGGAGTAGACTAGGATTTCAAGCTCCACCTCTAGGAAGAACCAGCTAGGTGACCCTGGACAAGTCCCATAGCCCCACTGGGTCTTAATTTTCCTATTTATAATTTGATATAGTTGGACTGGATGTGGGAAAATTCTGTGACTCTATTAAGCAAACTCCTTAGTCTATTAAAGGAGCCTCTAAAAGGCATTTGGTTAATTAGGAACTAAAACTAGATTGAACTATAACTAGCTCCCTAGATACCAAGTTTCAGCCACATTCCTGGTGCTTGACTGGTATCAGTCCCAGGTTTACTGTGTATCGTGTTGCTAGGGTCACTTTAGAAGGAATTACAGGACAGTCTGTCCTTGACTGGCTTTTTCTAAGGACATGCATTTATTATACTTATAAAAAAGTTTTTAAAAAAGGATAAATTGAATACATTTTACATAGGAAATATAATACTAAATTTTAAAGGTCTATTCAGATTTGCTTTGGAGGTGTCCTTACTGAAAAATCTGAAGCCAATGTAATAGGCACTTAGTCCAATAAGAGTAACGTTACCCAGTAGACTTTGTGAAACGCAAAAGCCAGACTCACCTGCACGTTAGCATGGACGGAGCCAGGCACTTGATATCTCCACTCATGGGCTGTCGTTTGAGATTTCGGAAGTAGAAAAGGATAAGAAAGGGACCGATATTTTGGTTTCATAATCTAAAATAAAGAAAAACAGATAAAAAAGACCCAAAGGAGAAAACAGTTCCATTCTTCCCTACTTTGTGATTATATAAGAAATTCAGGGGGCCAGCCTGGTGGCGCAAGGGGTTAAGTGTGCGCATTCCACTGCGGCGGCCTGGGGTTCGCCGGTTCGGATCCCGGGCGCGCACTGATGCACCACTTGGCAAGCCATGCTGTGGCGGCATCCCATATAAAGTGGAGGAAGATGGGCACGGATGTTAGCCCAGAGCCAGTCTTCCTCAGCAAAAAAAAAGAGGAAGATTGGCAGATGTTAGCACAGGGCTGATCTTCCTCACACACAAAAAAAAGAAATTCAGGTTCATTTGAAAAAGAAAAAGAAAAAGGTTAACTGGATGTTTCCAGGCGAATAGGCGATAGATTATTTGTTTTTGTTTTCTTTCTACTTCTTAGAGGCAGAGAACTCCTTTTTCCCTTCTTTTACCCTTTGTAGTGGGCATGTATTGCTTTATATTTTTAAAGAAAGCTTAAATATAATCTGGAGTTATAGAGTTACATAACTGCAAAAATGGGATTATTTTGTAAACTGATTTTTTACTATGTTGTAGATATCTTGCCACAGCAATATAGCACTATATATTATTTTTAATAACTTCATAGTAAAATGGTATGAAAGAATCAGAATTTAATAAATTCCTATTAATGAGCATTTCAGTTATTCTTCATTTTATTTGAATTATTAGTTGCAATATCAAAAGAAACTACCTTATTGGATTACTTCTTTAGATTAAATACCCAAAATAGTTTTTCTGAGTCAAAGGTTGTACACTTTTTAAAAAGCTTTTTGGCATTGTACCAATTTATTCTCCCAGAAGCAGCGGATAAGAGCATCAAAAATCCCAAACCCAATTGCAGGTATTAGCAATGTGTTTTATCTTTGTCAGTCTAGTAGGTTAAAAGTAGTATCTCTTTGTTTATTCATTCATCCCTCCTAAATTTTTGTTAAAAATATTTCCATTATTTCTAAGAGCGTCCACTAAATGTTTATAATGTTATGCAAATAAAAAATAAGGTGAGACTCTAAGTTGTTGATAAAACTAAATCCTTTTTCCAAATTATCAGGGAGAAAAATGCTCATCATCATTTAAAGTAAATACAATAGAACCTTACTAACACCTGGATGATAGGTACTTAACTTATGAATGTTAGGTCAAACTCTCACACATCATGAAGGCACACTAAGAAGACAATCTGGAGAAAAGAAAAATGGCTCCAGCTTCTTGTACTGCTCACTTTGCTCAGAAGCCTGTACCAATACGAACCCAGTGCAGTGCCAGGACTGGAAGGACTTGAAAGTTCAAACTCTCTCACCTAAAGGGCTCCTCTCTCCCTACAATCGCCTTCCACGTGACTATCAGCCCAGGCCAGAAGCTTTATCAACACTGAGCGTCCCAGATGTGATAACGGTTAAAACCATAGGCCCTGATAGTAGCATCTCTCCCTCGGTGCTCTGAATTGTCCATGGTGCGAAAGTTCATAAATGTTTTCTTTTTTTTTGCCCAGAGGCCCAGGAGCTCTGATAACCAGGCACCCAAAAGCGGATGGGTGGTACAGCTGTGGTCAGCACAGCCCCTTCTTGTTAACCCTCTGGGTTTCTCCTCTACTGGGCCTGCCTCTCTTCATGTGGACTGGATCATGATGAAACCATCCGGGTACCTTCGTGAAGTTCCAGCGCTGGATGAAGTGACGTGCCACGTCACGAGCCGCCTTCCCGTGGACCACAGAGGCAATATCATGCCATGGCATCCGGGGAGTGGAGTACCTGTCAATGAAATCTGCCCAGGTGCACCAGGCAAGGATCATCACTAATGTCTGTGCCAGGGACAGAAGCCATTTGACCCCAACTATGATACATAAAAGGAAACGTGGTAATGTCTATTATGCATATATTTCTTGGCTTGGGTGGAACAATACCTTTATAGCCAAGGGAAACATAGATCTCACATTGAGGAACACATTCCCCCAAATATGTTTCCATGTCACTTAGTGTGAGATAATCACCAGGCCAGGCAAGACATGAGTCGGTACAAATTATCTAAGACTGTGTACTTGATATTATTTTTCTTTTTCATCCTGTTGAAATAACATCAGGCTATGTATGCAGTTCCATCTCTATCTCCTCAGACATATAAGCACAGTGATAATCTGTTAATAATGAGATAATGCTGGAAGATGAAGATGATAAGCAGAAAAGGAGATGATCAAAGGAAAGGTACCATCTTCCAGAGAATTACAGATTATTACCCCCCAAAATATGCCTATACGAAACCTGGAGGTTTCAAACAAGTAAGCTCTCTTCCATGTTCATTTCTTACTATAACTACAAGCAAAAGTCCTTAAGTATATGGCTGAATCATAGTCTCCAAAGTTTTACCAAATATTCAAAACAAAACAAAGCAAAACAAAAGACATTAGATCATGCACATGCAGACTTGCTGAGATGCTGACAAGTAAAAGACAAAATATAAGCAGCCTCCCACCACCATGGTACTCACCAGCAAAGGGTTTATCAAGTTGAACCCAGTCTTTGAAGACAAAATTGCAGTAGTCCTTTCCATGCCAGAATCTGGTTTCCCCATGGAGCTCCCCGACGCCTGTCTGTAAACTGCGGATGGAGCCAGTGTCTGTGAACGCAGCAAGACCCGCTCAGAGACTGTGGTTCAGAAGGGCCCCAGAGAGGGAGGCTCAACTCTCACATATTAAACACCTACAGATTTCTTAACTTTTATTCTTAAGACTCAGAACGAGGGCAGCGTGTGTTCATTCTGTCTGAGGCTGTAGGCTGGCAAGGTTTCACAACCCTCACAAGTTCATTATTAGTGGGTGGTTGGGGCTATAACTAGGTTCATCATTTGACAATGAAACGTAACATTCCTATTCTCACCATCTACCAGATCATGGGAAGAAAGGATCACAGGGCTAACCGTGAATAAAGAACTTGCTAGGAGGGACTCGGAGAGAGCAGTAAAGCCAGGTCAGGTAGAGAAACATGAGATGCAGAGGCCATAAAGAAGTCAGGCCCTTCTCTTTCCTCAACCAATATGGTGCACACCTAACACAGAATTCTTGTCTTTTGCATCTCAAAAAGCAAAAAATCTCAAATTTGTAGATAGCCCATGTTCCAGCCCTGGAATTGACTAGCCAAGTGACCAAGTGACAGTGAGCTTCACCTTTTTGGGTCAGAAATCCTTTCCGTGTAAAAGGGAAAATTTGGCCCAGATAACATCTAAGATCTTTTGGGCTCTAACATTCTATATTCCTAAAATCATAAATGACACCCACAAAAAATATCTCAAAAACAGACAGAAGCTTGTGATCATATAGGCGCAAAAGCAGCAATCTGCTGCAACATTTCACAAAAAGCTTTGCCAGGACCATTTTACTTAAGGGTAAACACTTGGACCCAAATGGTTTGCACATTTTGGGGATATGTTGGCTACAAAGACAACTAAGCAGGAAGACTAGCAGAACGACAAGAACAAATGCAGCACTCGGCACAAAAGAAGCACTTAACAAATAGACATTGGATGCAAAAATATTTGCTGAATGACTAAATGGTACCATGTGCAGCAGCCCGTGAGAGTACTGGACTGGTTCCCCTACCACCACACCGCGCCACAACTGTCTTTCTAAAACACAGACTCCTTGCTTAAAAGACTTCTAGGATGTCCTACTGCCTACAGGGGGTCAAATCCTAAGGGCTTATTCTGTCTAGAAGGCTCTTCCCTAACTGGTGCCAATCTCTCTTTCTGGCCTTGTTTCCCCATACAACCCAGGCCCCATGCATACCACATTTCTCACTGTATTTGGACAGGCCTGGTCTGTCATGTCTCTGTGCAGTTGGCACATTTTTCCTTCTGCCTGGAATGCTCTTCCCTCCCTCTCAGCCTGATCTCCTCATCATCCATCAAGAGCCACGTTAGCTGTCATCTGCCCTAGAGAGACCTCCCAGACCCCAGTAGGGAGAGGCAGTCACTAGCAGTGTTGTAGAACCATTAACAGTTGCACACCCCAGTGCCTCTGACTCTGTGACACAATTGTGTAAGGATGCTCCCTCCCTGCCCCCTACTAGTCAATAAACTCTTCAGGGGTGGGAAGTGTATCCTCCCTGCCTGATGTAGCTCCTGGCATTTAGCAGGCAATCAATAAGTATTTTCAGAGCAAAAGTTTTTAAATAATCACCACACACAGTGCCAATATTCTTTCTCAAACTTAATAATTAACCTTCAAAGGTTATTGAAATTTTCTATGAAAGAAACCTGTCTTAAAGTGCTAAAGATTAACAAAACTAAGTAATGTTAAAAATAGAATCAATTGACTGTTCCTTGTGATTTATTTTCCTGCTCTACGAGACTGAGAGGCCAAAGTACTGGTAGGTCTGTGTGCTCACCCACAGGCTCTTTATAGTAAGCATGGCACTTTGTTTAAAAAAAAAAAAAAAACAGGAAAAGAAACAAAAAAGGGACAAAGAATGAGATAAATAATGGGTCAAATTAAAAATATATATATATACATAATTTGTTTTCATCAATTGAGAAGCTCTAAGGTAAAGTTTTACATATACACACACACACTTGTTTAAAAATTCACTCTCACCTAACAATCAGTTACGACAAGAAAAACAAAACAAAGCAAATTCTTAGTCTCTAAAATTATCTTGGAATTCACTGAATTCAACCTGTCATAATTCAAATTTGTTTTTGTTTTTTAGTCATGGCCTATACTATTCAAAATAAGTCAGGGTCCTCCTTGGAACAAATGAAATATAAAGGCAATAGAGCTGAATACTGTTAGTACTCCTGGTTACTGTTAGTACTGCATCAGAACCGCACGAGACCTGTGAGCAGGGAGAGAGGACTTTTTCCACCAGTGATGCTGATCTGAGGGTTCTCATTGATCTGTATCTGGCTCCCAGTTGATTTCATAATTGCGCCTGCCTTGTCTTTCAGCACGGGCATGTGCTGAAATTTTAAGCCAATTTTCCGCAATCCTCATCCATCAGTGGCCCAGACTCTGGCTGCTGAAGTTCACGGAAAGGGTGTCTTCCTACCCCTCACCCAGTGTCTCTGGCTTTGCCACATCCTCCTTTTTTTCTCGTCTCCTGGCTTCCAAGGCTGCATTCCCCTATCATTACTCTAACCTTCTTGATCTTCTGTCCCAGCTCCTCCTCCCTATCAAGGTTTTCTCCAACTTTCTCCTAAATTACCCCTTAAGTCCTGGCTTCTCTTTTGGGCTCCAGATCTGCAGCCACTTCGAGCACCTCACTTGACTTTGTCGACCTAGTTGTCCCACCAGAACTTTAGAATCACATGTGACACTAGCAGCATTATCATCCCCACGAAATCAAGTCTTCCCTGGAGATTTCTGCTTTCCGTTCATAGTCACTCAAGCTCAAACCTCAGAATCACCTTTGGCTTTTCTCCTTTCTTCATTATCTTCTCCACCCACCTCCCCATCACCACTTCCCAAATCCTAGTGAAATTCCGCTGATTCTTCCTTTGGAAAAAGTTTCTCCCATTCGCTTCATTCTTGGGCCCACTGGAAGAAGCTAGTCCCCGTGTCTCTAGTGTAACTTAGTAAAACACCATCCTTAACCCCCTACATCCCCAACACCCATCCCTTCCAAATCCCACCCCACCTCCCAGGGACTCTCCCACATTTAGTGGATAAGGTTCAATATCTCAGCCTGACTGTCAAGGCCCTCCATATATTTGTACAGACACATCCTACCAGCCCAATCTACACAAATGAACTCACCCTTAACCACAATTCCCAAGCCCAAAAGCTCTGAAAATCCAACTGTTTTTTCACAGCTCATGTGTTAGCAAAACCTGACCTGAACTGACAAGAGGTTATTATCTTTATCCCACTGGGTGTTGCACAAATATAAATGATTTACGTATAGGGTATTTCCTGAACCCTGGAAGGAGTGTAACGTAATATAGAGGAAAGGTATTGTATTACCTTCCTAAAATCCAGAACCTTCTAATTTCTGAAGCCTATCTGACCCCCAGGATTTTGTATAAGAGATGAGAGACCTTTGTGTATTTACCACATTCCATACCTAGGTCTAAGATGCTAAAATAAATACCTCTGGCATTTCCCATACCTGTGCCTTAAGATACCTGGAATGTCTGTTTTACTCCCTTCTTAGTCTCTACCTACTGAATTTCTGCCTATATTCAAGGCCACTTCCAAAACAGGTCTTCAATGAGCTATACTTTAAAAAACCCTTTGGTTTTTGAAACTTTTTGGATTTTGGAGTTGTGGATCAGGTTTACTGCGGAGGAGGTGTCACTGACAACTCTTGCCTGTAATAGTATCGCCCCCTGATGAATTACTAGGGCACTAGGTTAGTAAAATACTAAAACTCACACTTACCTATTAGATAATAAGCTCTCTGACAGCAGAAAATAAGTCTTGTACATGTTATACCACTGCATCCCTGAGGACAGAGTTTAGAAATGACTTAACCTACTATTCATTATCCCTTATGATTAATATCTGAGTTTGAAACATCTGTCTCAACTAAACTGCAAAAATGATTTCCCCCCTCAGCCATTGCTTTATCTTGCTTCAAAGGAAAAGATCAGCAAACAGTCCCTGAATAGGAGAGGAGGCAAATTCAACCCTTTAAAATAACATACTATCCAGCAAAGCAATGTCAATTTGAAATTCTCCATCTTGCAACATAATTTTGAAAGAAAAAAAAAATCTTGAAGATGGCTGAGTGATTTCTGAATTAAAGTATATACTATAGAAATCTACCATGGTTACCAATCACATTTAAGATGAACTGATTTCAGTGCAGTTTTTCTACTCAGAAACCCATGGCGCTCTTGAATGCACACTCTATACTGATTTCTGTACACCACCAGTAAGGCTCAGCAGGAGACCAGTTCATCACCGCCTCTTGCCCTCAGTGAAACTGAAGTGCAGAGAAGCTCACTGTGGGAGATCAAGATTTGGCCACCCTGAAATATATCTCTTTACCTTGATTGTTTTCTCTGACCAACATTTGACCTCGCCCACTAACTGCCTAAAGAATTTGACATAGTAACTCCTTCCTGGAACAGATCTTCTATCTGATGGCTGTAATATAATGTAAAATAGATGTTACAATAGAAAAGGCACCAACAAGCCCATCTTATCGGAAGTTCTGTCTCTCTGGCCACATTCTCTGGATGGCCCTTTGAGGAGTTGCCAGACAAACATTTACATTTATAAGGGAAATCTCCATTTGTAAAGGTATCTCCCTCTCTGTATTGGGAAGAGGCGGGATGACCTCATTTCTAGAAACTTAATGTGGAAGGTGAGGCCTTAAATCTGCATAATAACCTTACTCTTGTTTACAGTGCTTTAGTGGTAATCTCCTGTAACTGACACCCCCCACCCCCAACATCCTCCTTTGTCTTTAGCTGAAGATGGTATTTAAGACGAGAATTTCTGCTATTGTGTTGAGAAACGCAGTATCCCTGGTTTCTCCCATGTATACATGTTATTAAACTTTGTATTATTTTCTCCTGCTAACCTGTCTTGTTAATTATTTGGCCAGCCATAAAAAACTTAAGGGAAAGGGCAGAGGGGTATTCTCCCTCTTCCCCAACATCACCCATTTCATACCCTCAGGAAAGGAAGTTACTAACTCAAACAAACATTCAGTTTCAAATTTCTAAGGCAGAGTCACTCTGCGCTTAATTTGGGTTTCAAGTCCTATAAGACAGTATCAGTTGAAGTCATTACATGATTTAAATATAGAGCTGTGCTCTTTAAACTTCCTTTATTATTAATAGTAGAAACTTACTTTTTTCCCAACACAAATTCACATGGAACTCCAATACATAAAACAATACAAGTGGGACTGTTACGGTTAAAGCAGGTACGAATAGCTGAGGAAGGGTCCGGGGCCCACCTACTCAATATCCAACTTTAGAGCCCCTGAGAAACACCAGGGTCCTAGGAATAGGCTTGGCAAAGCACTGCTCCAGAGGGACTCAACTATCCTCTGGCTTCTCTTTTTAAGGAAATTAATATTTTTCATATTAAAAAATTAAATTTGGAACTTAACATAGTTAATGGAAAGAGTCCTCTCCGTCTCTCACATCATTATATCCAGGGCATCAGCAAATGCTGTCAGCTCCACCTCCAGATGTATTCAGTACCTGTCCGGTCACTACTTGCCACCTGGTGTGCTCTGAAGAACTGAGCCTGTAAAAATGGAAGTCAGACCTTGTCCGTCCTTTGCTCAAGACCATCCGATGGCTTCCTATCTCACTCAAAGTTCTATAACCTACCAACCCTCTCTGACTTTGCCCCTGACACTCTTCCCTAGCCCACTCCACTTCAGCCACGTTCCTGGAACACACCCACCCCTCCTGCTCAGAGCCTTTACACTGGCTATTCCTCCTGGCTGCAGAGCCCTCTCCCAGACCTCCTCTTATCCTCATTCTTCTCTTCCTTTTGGTCTCTGTTGAAAACTCAACTCATTAGAGAAGCATTCTCTGACCTCTTGATAGAAAATAGTAACTCCTCCCCTCTGCCCTTGCCCCTTCCCCTGCTCTGTTGTTCTCCGTAATTCTCACCACATTGTGTTTGATGATCTATTTGTAAAAACAATTCCCATCCTTACCCTCCAATTAGTTAACAGAATTTCATCTGTTTTGTTCATCCCTACTACCTAGAACATTCAGTGGCACATTATAAGAGCTCAATAAGTACTTATTTAATGAAACAAACAAGTCATATGCATTTATTTTTGTATCCCTACTTAGAGTTTTAATGATTGCACAATTCCATCAGGAGAATGAACCACTCATTACGTTCTTCACCATTGCTCTACTGTTGGATGTTCAGATTGTTTACTTTTTCTCTCTCTCTCTCAATAAACAATGCTGCACTGGACATGTATCCAGTATATTAGGGAGGAGTTTCCATCAGCACCTGAAAACCACCCACATCCATGTCCTCAGATCACCAGTGTGGGTGTCACCCCCTCAGCCTGACGTCGGCCTGAGTTACGTTGTGACGTATTCAGCACCTGGCTTGCATCTTCTTTTCTACTTGTCCCCAGTCCTGTTGTTGGCAACACAACCACTCAGTCAAAATTCAGATCCCTCAGCTTCATGGTTTGGCAACCTCATTCCTTTTAACTTCAGTACTAAAGCAACACACATGGGAATTGTCACTGACTAGGTGCCCTGAGAAACTCAAGAATAGGTTTGGAAGCATTTAAGCGTTTTTCCAAGTTGTGTTTTTTTCCCTTTCGTTGTGTTAAGGAGATGCAACCATCAACCACCCTGAAATGGACCAAGCCTCACCACAAGAGCCACGCCCATGACCTTTGCCTCATTTTCAATGCTAAGACCTCTCCAGGAGGAGCTTAGGCCTCATTACCGTAACCTGCAGGGTATGTGGAAGCACGTTTTCCAGCTGAGCCTGTGCAAGCGAATGCCCACCTCTCCCTTTCGAATATTCATTCTCCATCCGAAATGAAAGTTCCTGCCTCCCTCTGTTCGAGGACAGCATGACTTTGGAAATGATTCCTCATGGCCTCCTATTTGCTGCAAATACACTTTACTTTATGAGACAACTTCCACTGGTGTAGAGTCTTATGTAACTCACAAGGAGGCGAGCCCACTTAGTTCGGTAACAGAATTACAAAGCACTACCCGGACCTGTTTCCAGCTCTTTACCCTTAATATCTGTCCCTGCATTCACCCCTGACCTGGCTCTTTGGATTCCCAGCGGCCTCTGGTTTCCTGTCTCAGGGCTTTGAAGCTGGTTCAAGCACAGGAATTACTCTGAGTTGTCCCTGAATCCACATATGCATCAAGTCCTAGCTGTATGGTACATAAACAAAACGTCTCCCCATATATGTTCTTCTCCATTTTTTAATGTGTATCAATGTGTTACAATTTATAACACATACATTGATTTAAAAGTTCCATTGGAGCTTTAGATCATTATATATTGTTAATCAGTTTAAAAAACGCAGCGTCCCCAGACTAAAGAAAGCTGGGAACCACCGCCCAAGGTCCCACTTAATCCATCAGGTTCATTAGCTCCTGTCACAAGTGACTCACATCCGGCCATGTCAGTCGGGCTCTAACTCAAGTCATCTCCTAAACAATACACTAGAACCGTGGCCTTGGGAATTGACGCGAAAGGTCGTGATGCAGTAATCTGCATTTCTGCTAAATCACAAATCTGAATCATGAGCTCTGGGAGGCTGCAAAACTGGAACTTCATCGGGTAATTCATTTATCAGCTCTAACCCTGAGTTTCCTCATGTGTGAAAAGGAGATAACACCGTCACTACCAAGCACCGCAAGGGCTCAGGGCAGTGACGGGCAGACTCTGCGCACAATAAACGCCAGCTTACAATTTCACTGTGGTTGCTATTTACGACCATGATTACTTGTCCCCACATCTGACCCCTTGCCAGATTCCTCTTCATTCCCACCACCATATTTCAGGCCCTGATTAAATTATTCCAGTACCTAGTTCTTCTTACAAAAGCTTATCAGATTACAATTTCTAATAACATGTGGCGTGAAAACTGTGCGAACAGAAAGCCAGTCCAGAAACACACTGCTCATGCAGCAAAAGCTGAAGCCTAAGGAGGTTCTGCCGCTTCACACGTCACTTACCAGCGTGAGGTCTAGGGGGCCCCTGCCCAGACTCACTGGAGGAGCGAAAGAGTTTCAAATGGGGTCTTAAACCATGGATTAAATTCTGACGACTTCTATAGTGATTACAATAACCTGGAGAAAGTCAAGAGTTCTTTTACAAAGACATATTATGTATCAAGTTTTCTAAACTGGAAAGCAGGTTTGATCATTTTTAAAACCAGGCAAGGCTATGAAATCAGTTGCAAATTCTGTGCAAGAGAAAATTGCAGAGCTTTAAGATAAATTTGAAATGAACAGTAAATTGACAAGACGTAGAAAATTTGATGTTTGAGGATAAAAGCTTGATATATTTCTGGATAGGATAAGAAATGAAATTCCTTCTATGAAAAGTGTATACAGTACACCTAACACTTTTCTTTTTCCTTTATAATTTGCCATTATTTTAGAACTGCTTAGTCATTCTGCTACCATCAGAAGCATGAATTGTCATTGTTATGACTACTTGTGTGAATAAAACAATGTCTGTTCAAAATGAGGCAAACAAAGCCATGAACTGGCATGATATTGAATAGGATGACATAGTGACCTTTCAGCACGGCTCATTTTACTCCATTTTAGAAAGACAGGTTTTAGGGGCCGGCCCTGTGGCTTGGCGGTTGGGTGCGTGCGCTCTGCTGCCGGCGGCCCGGGTTCGGATCCCGGGTGCGCACTGACACACTGCTTCTCCGGCCATGCTGAGGCCGTGTCCCACATACAGCAGCTAGAGGGCTGTG